TAGGTACCTATAAGGTATACTATACATATGTATATTATATTTAAATATAGGCATAATGACAGATACAATGACAATAACAAATAAAATATATTATATTGATTAAATCTTATATATTGTTATTAAATTTATTGTTATATAATTAATTGTTGCTATTTCTGAATATTGCKTAACGATTCAAAGAAWATGTTTAATAATTTATAATTTCCAATGAGTTTAGAGATTCACAACTTATGTATCTAAAATGTTGTTGGTTAATAATTTGTGGTAATTAGAATTTTACCATACTTTATCAACTGATGAGGAAGATAATACAATTAGGTGCTCTTCAAATTGTCTATAGGACGTCTCTTTGACGATACAAAATACATATTCGACCATGGCAGCGGTTGCGACTTCGACAATGATTGGCTGCTGTGAGATGTCGTGCTCTTGACGGTATAGTGTATACTGCAGGTGTTRAAGAGTGAAGACGACTTTTGTGCCGGCCACACTGCAGGTTACCTATAGGTGCTCAGAGCATGCGACGAAAACTAATTAAAATATTATGAGTGCTGCGGAATCGGCGGTGGCCTAGCTGAGGCGTTGCGACTCGCGACTGGCGTCATGATGTGACTTGCATGGACGAAAAGGAGAGAGAATCGGTGGACAGTACCGTACTCCGTATAGTATATACCGCTGTAGTCCTGATACTCTCCGTATATAGTTTTCGACCTGACTTCCCAACTTGGACGACAGAAGCAGACCACTGGACGAAACAAGGGGAAACAATCTTCGGACACCAACACGCGCCATCACTACCCTATCTGATACACTTCGTGATTTTCACCCTGAAGACCTATAGGCACTATATATATACATCAGTCGATGGACCCGCCAAATCCTGAAACGTTTCGGTTCCCCAAATCTGAGCGATTTTAGACCCTTTTATTTTTCCAAACAAATCTATTAGTTTATTTTACTATAATAGTATAATATATAGACTTAGATTCATATTCTCTACAGCAGCCAACTAACTTAGTTTTACAAAAATAAGTAAATACTATACAAATGTGAATCTTGCAGTGCATAGTGTATAAGTATATACGACGTGCATTTGTTTATTACTGCAGAGTAGAATAATATTTATATAGAATAATATATATACTGCGTCAATCAAGTGCAGGTTTCCGGCCGATCAGTTATAAGTTGTATATTTATGTCTAACACATAATACTATAATAGTAACTTAGTAATAATCGTATAATATAATAACACTGTATATAATATATAAGTATAGGTATAAATGTATAATACCTATATACGCTGTATATAATATACAAATTCTAAATATCAGCATTTGAATTATTCAATTATTGCAGCATATATAGAATTAAAGGAAAAATGGGAATGAACATAATTATGCTAAGTGACTCACCCTGGTATATTATACATTATGTAGTCGAGCGTATATATAGCACCCACAAATTGTATTAAATATATACATAACGTGTAATAGCTAGCTGATCGCTGATGATGACTCGAGAAGAAGCAAAAAAAGAACTCACATAAGAATATTGAGTGCACTGCAGTTATACAGTATTATACAACAGCTATTATTTATACATTATATTCTATATAATATCTGTACGTATCTATACATGCATTAAAGGCAGTCATAAAATTATACTAATTACTCATCCCTGTCTAATATTTTTTATTATTTTGACACGCGACGTATAGGTCGACCATAATATATTATGGTCGACTTGTATACCATAATATGTACATATAAACGGGCGTTTGTATATGAGTGAGGCATTATGTATACCATATATATAATAAAGATATCGACGAACGCCCCTTGGAAACGAATGGGCGGGACTTGTACGAGCTGAAACAAGTGTCCCGCACTCCTGCGTTTGGCCAGGGATCAGTGGTATTATTCGTTGCAGTTGCAGAAACATTCGGGTCCGACTATAATATACGACGAGTGTTGTACATCACGATCGCACGCCAAAACTCCGAAGAAGTCACTCAAAATCAATTTTTTCTTCGGGACTTTGGTGTCATTATAGTCATTTTAAAGTCGTAGAATAGTTTCCCCGTTTGTGTAAAATCCGTGTCTCCTAGTAAAAAACTGTGCTGATCTTCGCGTCCGCGTGACATGGCGAGTGATATAATCAACTATTCTTCTCGACACTATCAACCGAATTATTCAGGTGAGCAACCAAATTTTTTTATCGAACACGACACGTGCGTCATCATAATATACATATATGCATGCAAACATTGCAAACTAATAAAAAACAAGTGACATAGTTTCCTACATCTACCAAAATGTGTGCAAGTTCTTTAAAAGTATATACTATTTAGTTGTAATTCATTCATGAACAGTTGAACATGTTTTTTTTTATAATTTAATAAACAATTAAMATTCCGTTTGCGAATTATACATTTTAGCATAATTGTAAAAGTCTATAACAAATATCTCTATATACTATATAGCAATAGGAATCTCTAGAAATATAATATTATAGGTATACCTATGTTTGTTCCGTCGAACATAAAGCATACGAGTTACGAGTATAAACATTAATTTAAATTTACTTTTAGAGTAAATTCACACAAACTGCAATATTAGAAAATAGTGTATATGGGACACATACACACTAATAGCGATCACTATGGAAAGCAGTGGCGTGCAGAACATTTTTTAGACTTGAGGCAAACTATACAATTTGACACCCACCCTACAACCATTAGGTTTTTCATTTAATAAAAAATTGTATACGTTCATATGATATTTAAAATGTATGATCAAACTAGTGCCCAGTTGACCAGTTGCACACCTATAGTAACCCATCCACCCACCCACCAGTATTTTCCYTGAGGCAGTTGCCTCAAAAAATAGCTGTTCAGCACGCCACTGATGGAAAGTATATAGTCCCTCACTGCCTGAAAATATTTCAAATTGTTAAAGTAATTTGTAATTTTGTGCAATATATCGTTATAGGTATATTATTAATTGTTATTTTGATAAATAAACGATGGCGACGTTGTGTAGTGAGTTGTTGAGAGTACTAGAATGCAATTAGCTTAAAAAATGCGGACAGTTGAAGTATTAAATATAGTACGTGTGTTTAAAAATGCATTAAAAATAGAAATATACCTGCAGGTATCATATGATACACTGTTTCTTTTATTTTTATTTGTTAAATAGCTATTCAATTAAAATATTCTGATAATTMCATTAGATAAATTATAAATAAAACAATTAATAGGTACTATACTTATTATTAATCTTAAAAAGCGGGTAAGTCGTGGATGTCGCTCTGCTGTACAGTAGGTTACAAGTTGGTTACTGTAATGGATGGAATTAAATTTGAATCCAATGATATATTACATCATTGTATACGAAAAACGATTCTGAGCGGAGACAGTTTATCTGTCT